CGCGCGCGCGCGCGTGTGTGTGTGAGTGTGTGTGTGAGATATTTCACGAGAAACTAGCACAAGGACAGCTAGAAATTCAATCTATGTTCATCTTTCATACGAAAGCTCTTGTACAAGATTTTAGCTAAATATCAATATATGATAGTATATACACGGTACAAATATCGTCAAGTGCATCCGCGCGTTCGACGGAGACTTAGGCGGTTCCGATAACTTCAGAAGGTTCAGATTGAACTATTGTAACGTATACTTTCAAGGAAGGAAAAAAGATAAACTGTATTTTTCTAGATTTTACCGTGCATAAATCGAGTGACTTAATCGCGTTTATTTCTTGAGACACTCAACTAAATGCGTTAAGTTGGACTTAGATTGCACTAGCAGAGTTAACTTTATAATGCGATGCGACAGGAAAATACCTCGGAAATCATTCAGTATTTTTGCATTAAAATTAATTCGTTGTAATGATGAAATTTATCATGAGTTACAGGAATTAATCAAATTACTTTTTTTTAGATTTAATTACATAATATGATAATTACATAATAATTTATATATGAGTTACATATAGAAATTGAAATGTATGTATTACGTGTGATATCAACTTTTTTATTACTTTTGTAAATGTAAAAATTAAAAAAGGTTCAGGTAATTTCTTTCAATTTTAATTCTCGTCTCTGTTTATATTAATGAAATTTCGTTACAAAATAACTTGCATCACAACACCATTACAGCAGAATTTTTATAATATACGAATTTTATATAATACGAAGTTACTCCTACTGTTGCAATCTAAATCTTTTATAATACCGTTATTATGATGACAATGTCACATCGACAATTGATTTTGTTAAAATAGCTTATATTTGTTAAATCATTGTTATAGGGCCAGTTGTTCCATCTTCGAATAAATTACGTAGTAATTTACTTATTGGATAAACAAAAGAGTAAAAAAGTAAGAACATAAGAGTGTAAGAGAGTAAGATAGTGATAGAGCTGAAGTTTACTGCAATGCTCGGATTTACTTGCACATTTCGGCCGATTTTCAGCTTGGTTTCTGCGCCTTATTTCACCAACCCGCGCAGCCTAAATGCCGAAATTTTCGGCAAGCTGAAAATCGGAAATGTGCAAGTGCTTAAATTCCAGCACTGGTTTATCGAAGTAGAACAACCCAGCCTTAGTCTTGTTTTCCATTTTACTGATGCCTGTCATCGCTAACGATTGCAAATTATATGCGTCTATTTTTAATGAAATTAAAAAATAGACATACTATCAAGTTAACATTTACAGAAATCGTTTAATAGCAGATTGGAAGATTGATAGAAGAATATTTTTTACAAGACTTATTTATTCTGTCCTTGCCAAAAACCTAAAGAATTATGACTTGAATTGATCAAATTAAGTACTGAAAACTTAACTGGAATGAATGAATTATTAATTAGTTAAGCAGTTTAAAACGAGTGTAGAATAAGGTTTTGTTATAGTTTTAGATTTTTAGTTTTATATATGTATATACATATATATATATATATATATATATATATACATATATACAATATTGAGAGAGACGATAAATGTACATAACGTTCTTTTCGTAATAAAAACGATTGAAAAACAGATTTTTGTTGGTTTTTTCTGACTTTTTAGAGAACTTCTTTGCAAATCAATAATCTCGACGAACCTTTACTATTAGAAATTAATTGAAACTCGCTTCGAGTAATATGATAATATAATAGATTATCGACGGAATCGATAACTGATCAAAATTGAATTATTAATGGTTTAAAGTTTAAACATAGTTACGTATATTTCCGATGTCGATGGGAGATGCACGTTTACTTTTTCACGGTTCAAGTTGAAAATAGAAAGGAGAAGATATTTACTTCTTGCTCGAATAAACATTATTTCGTTATCTGTTGACAATGCATTTGCCATTTATTGAGGATTGCTTTCTGAAGGAACTTTTTTCAAAAATATAATTTTGTTAAAAATGCGTGCTTTGCAAAAAATAAATCTTGTCTGCAAATGATATCTTAATTTTGGAAATTAATAAATATCTATAGATATATGTAAAAATATAAAATATATGTAAATGCACAAAATGTATTTCTTTGAACATTATAAAAATAATTTGAAGTCAACTTTTTAAATCATTTTTAAAGTTAAAAAAAAATAAAAAAAAAACTTTTCGTAAGACTTCAGATCGAGAGTCAAATGATGGGAATAATATGATTTATTTTCTTCAACTATTTTCAGGAGTTTACTTTAATATTTTAATTCTGATTCGCAAAGATACACAATATTAAAAATTGAAGAGAGCTGTGATAAATGAGTCTCGATAAATCTTTCTCGACGCTTTCGTTCTAAGTTGGAAAAATTGATTTCAGGTTAATGAAAAAGTAATGCACAGAAGAATATATGTACAAGGAATGTCGTATAAAAATGTAATTTGATTATTTAATATGATTTTTTAATCTCATTTATGGAACTATTTATATTATAACATACATATATTTACAGAAACGTAATTGTATCAGATTGATGTTATTTTACTAGCTATTATATGACTCGTACAAGAATTACATAAGCAACACCAGCATCTTACAATATTATCGGTTCTCAGAATCGATATATATGTGTATATATATATATA